AGAGACACGCACACACACACAGATAGAGACAGACACACACACACACACACACACACACACACACACACAGAGACAGACAGACAGACAGACAGACAGACAGACAGACAGACAGACAGACAGACAGACAGACAGACAGACAGACAGACACACAGACAGACAGACAAACAGACAGACAGACAGACAGATAGATAGACGCAGAAAGACAGAAAGACAGACAGAGGGGGAGAGAGAGAGGTGTTAACTTTGCAGAAATACGCAGGAGAGAATGTGTTAAACGGCTGTGCTCTTCCAAACATTTCCCAACTAATTCCACTTTTTTGACACAGACTCCTCAGTTTTGACAAAGCGTATAGCCTACTCATAGACTCCCTAGTTTTGACGAAGCGTATAGCCAATGCACAAGCAAACCGCTTACGAAGAAGAGAAAGACCACCTCATCTATCTACATACACTTTATCCATTCCCAGTTTTTAACTCTGAAGCTTTATATGAACTTCTACCCAACATCCACCTATGCTTTGTCTGAGGAGTCTCCACACCATCTCCTTCTTCTCCTGATACTTCTTGACACCTTCTCCTTCCTCCTTCGTCATCCTCCTGCTTATATTCCTTTCACTGTCTTTCTTCCCACATCTCTATCCGACCCGTCTCGCTGATAACTCGCATGCTTGCCTCCTATTGAGGCAAGGGGCTGCGTGCTTCAACCGCCATTACGCCATATTTCTAGCGCAACCCACAGAGATTCCCCGCCACGTTTACAGCTCTGAAGAATCTGCCAGAGAGACACAGCATGAGCCACGGCGCAGCGGCAACGCCACTCGCTCTCCCAAATCACGTTTCCTTACCGGTCTGAAGAGTCTGTCAGAGGGACACAGCACGTGTCACGGCGTAGCGACAAACAAAACAATGACACTCACGCTCCCAAATCACTTTCCCTAGACGATATATGAAACGTGGCGCCCCTGCAGTCGATTGCATCATGGCCAGAAACTCGATGATCCTGGTATTTGCCCGGGTTCCCAAATCGTCTACGCGTCGTGCAAAAGGTTGAAGTCTGTCGGAGATCCTGCCTTCTAGTAATCCATTCCCACTCACTCTTGCAAGAACCTTCCATTCGGAAAGCATCGAGGGAATAGAAAGTCTCAGTACAGAGTCAATCTGAAAACAGCCGAAGACAAGCCTCAGAACTGAGAAACTCTGAGAACAACCGATGTGTGATAACCATGACTCTGGGAAAAGTCTATAAAAGTCCGACTGAGAACGGTGTAAGAATACGTCTGACAACATCTGAGAACAGTCTCAAACCAGTCTGAGTCCAGTCTGAAACCATCTGAGAACAAGTCTAAGGAGAGTCTGAGACCAGCTGAAACCTGCATATGAACACGAGAAATTCTGAGAACAGTCACAAGTCTTAGAGCACAATTTGAGAAACTCTATGGAGTACATATGAGAGCAAGCTGAGAACATATGAGAACATTGTCAGATAGCGGAGAATAGTAGGAAACGTCGAGAACAGACTGCGAAGAGTACGAGAAAGGAAGGACTTACCGCGGTTTGACATAATATGAGAATAGACTGCAAAGACTTCAAGTTAAGGACTGACCGAGCACGGTCTTAACACAGGCTCTCATCTGTTGGCGAAACGATCATATTCCTCGTGCACAAGTGCATTGTGAAGCTCATGAACTAGAAGTGGACAATACGAAGGCGACACAGAAGAAGATTCAACGATAACAACGACCACAACAACAGCACGACAAAGAAGACGAAGAAGGCGAAGAAGGCGAAGAAGGCGAAGAAGGTGAAGAAGGCGGAAGAAGTCGAAGAAGTCAAAGACGATGAAGTCAACAGAAAAGACAGAAAAGATGGAAAAAAAGAAGACAAATCACCACAGTTTTCCACATGACATTGTATCTCTCCGTTTGCCTGTCAGCTATTGTGCGACAGCAGTAGCGTCAACATCAGAGAAAGGGAAATGCAAGAAGGGGTAAATACTAAATACTAAATACTAACCACGTGGATGCGCAGAACGGCAGCAAGTTCGCCTACCCCATCTCCAAAGAAGATATCAGTGCAAAAGATTGCATTAAAAGGGACAGAGTTTGTGAGAGCTTCACTGTGTTTCCCCCGCACAGCGCACACACTTTTTTGACACCACCACCGTAAGGCAAAATAGTAAACCAGTTTAAAAAAAAAAAAAAAAAAAAAAAAAACATGTCATTGCACCCCATTCCCGGCATCGATCCTCTGCTGAAGAGACTGCCAGTTCAAGGACCCATCATTCAACTCCTGCCCCCAGTTATTGTGAACAGTGCACAGAGATGAACTACTGGCATATGTACAAACAGAGAGGCTCAGAGCAGTCCACATCAAGTGATTTTGAGCACTTCAAAAAGATATGATTATCCACATCAAGTTATTGCTGTGGTTATATTCTTACGTACGAGGTTTGAAACAACGACACGGAACTGTCATCGAAGCGTCAAAAGTTTTCAAAACAGACTAGACCAGAGGAGAACATCTCTGCCGATGAAATTAACAAACACAAATAGAATGAATGAATTTGCCGGCGAAGATAAATCAAAAGCAATAGAACGTGAGCGATATCCTATCAATTCACAGGAGAATGCTCACACCTCATGTGTGAGTGGGGAAGCTGTACCATAGGGGCACATGGAGAGGTGGAAACAGGAGGAGGAGGAGGAGGAGGAGAAGGAGGAGGGAATTTTTTGTTGGTGGGTAAATCCTTGCATAATATCCTAGAAAGAAGCACACATAATGCTTTTTGCCCCTAATTGCACGGCATGTGAGTTAGCGGGCTGATGATGCAACACGCTAAGAGTTACATTACATAAATTTAAAGTAATGGGGGCTAGAAGTTTAGAACCCTGGCCAATCGCTGTTAGGGTCCCATTATTTGTTTGTGTACCTGGTAATACACGTAAACCGGGTACAGATCCATAACTACTGTTATTGTGAGGGCCCAAGCAGTAGAGGAGAGAAAAAAAAGCAAAACTCTATAATGGCCAGTTTCAAGTTCTCAAAACTTGGTGAGTGCTCACTGTACGAGTTTGGACGACTTATTTTGATCCTTTACGACAAACAATATTGCTACATAATAAGTATATATCGTCATAGAGAACTGCCCGGTGAACCGTAGGCAGAGACTCTGAGGCAGAACAGGACAAGAAAGGAGGGGCCGTGACAGACTGTTTTGTCAGACTTTCCCCGACTTACGTATATGTATAGTAATATTTAATAACCTTGAAAAACTCACACCATACGGCTCCGGAAAGAATGGCATGATAGAAAATGTGAAGCAGTATATATATATATATGGAGAGAGAGAGAGAGAGAGAGAGAG